CTTTATTTGACCTTATCATACGATCACAAAAACAACTTTTTAAAATCTTTTTGGGGTGGTCCTCGGGTAAGCGCCCACCCCCATTTTTTCGATTTTGTATGTTCAGGCCCCTGGGCGCGTGCCCGGGGTAATACGGTATAACCATGTCAGGAATATGATTTTTTAACATTAAAATGATTGACATTTGTATCTGATCGTCAAATTAGTACTTGTCCATATTGAGAGATATTGCTCCGGAACAGCATTCAAAATCAGCCATTGTGAATACATGTATATATATAACATGATGTGTAACGAATATATAAAATTTGAATATAATCAGTCAAAGCATTTAAGAAATATGGCTCTAGAACCCCAATCATTAAAGCAAAATTGCCGTCAGTAAGCCATTTTAAATACAATCTGAAAAATAAAATGACGTGCTTCAGGAACCCGTACTGTCTAATGTATGTACCAACTTTGAACAAAATCCATCCAGAAATGCCAGAAATGCTTGATATATGATGATTATTTAGCACAAAAATGGCCACCATTTGGCCATTTTGAATAGGATCGTCAAACCAATATATCTGTCTATCTATGACATGATGTATAATGAATATTTAAAATTTGAACATAATCAGTGAAAGCATAAGTTAAACATATGGCACGAGAACCACATTCATTAAAACAAAATGGCCGCCAGTTGGCCATTTTGAATCTTATCGGAAAAACAAAATTATTTGCATCAAAGTCCCATAATGTCTAATGTATATACCAAGTTTGAACAAAATCCATCTGTAAACAGCAGAGAAATGCTTGATTTTGATGATTTTTAGCACAAAAATGGCTGCCATTGAATCAGATCGTGAAACAAATTGACGTGCATATGTATAATGTCATGTATGATGTATGTGTGAAGTTGTGATTGGTCCAGGCATTGCAAAGATACATACTGAAAAATCATCAAAATTAAGTATTTCTCTGCTGTTTACAGATGAATTTTGTTCAAATTTGATATATACATTGGACATTATAGAAGCTTGATGCACATCATTTTGTTTTTCAGATGAGATTCAAAATGGCTAATTTTGAATGCTGTTCCAGAGAAATATCTCTCAATGTGGACAAGTACTTGTTTGACGATCAGATACAAATGTCAATCATTTTAATGTTAAACAATCATCATAATTACTACAAACAAAACTGTCTTAAATTTGATAACTAACAGGACTGTGCCATGCATGGCTTGTTCCTACAATTTTCCTTTATAATACTGTAGAAACATTTTGTTTCGCAGACCAATCGTATCGTGGTGTTTTAATTTTGCGGATTGTCAAAAAGTGAAACAAAGGGTCACACGACATGAAGCAGTCAGTCAATGCCTTGTTGATTACCTGCACATGTACCAGTATTACACAATAACAACTATTTGAAGCTCATTACAGTCTGACACCTAATCACTGTATCCTTTATTTTAAATAAATGATGTGTTTCTAGACAGTCTAGAAAGTTATACAAAAAGTCATTCTCCTTCGCAGAGACTGTGGATCTTTTATCACTAAGCTAGGTAGTTGCCAAGGAACGCCCCACTTGTCTCTGCCACAGGCTAATTTGAAGCGGCAAGGCGCACACAGATGTATTAGATGTATTAGTGACAGGTCCATTGCTATGTGAGCAAAACTCATGTAAGACTTCCTCAGCTCTGGAAGCGCGGGTAGTAAAAACTGCTTCGAGTCGCCCCAGTTGTGACGTCACATAGCAGTCAAACTCTATGTTGAATCTTTGATTCACATTCATGTCTCCTAGCGCAGGATCTACTTTTTCATTATTTTAACATTTGAAAAGATTTTAGCACTGAATGTTAAAATATTCAATATATTTATTTTAAATACCGGTAACACACAGTCTTTCAACAGAAGCTAGGGATTTTTTAAAAAAATGTGAAATACCAACAATTTTGGTGTAAAATGTCGCCTGTGTCTAGTTGCGGCTATATATGTTGCTCCCTAGGTCAGGTCATGTACTCGAAGACTCTGCAAGGGATAGTGACAAAAAGTATCATCCTTTAGAAAACATAAATGACAGCTTGTCGTACGATAAAAGAAAAATTTTTCCATATATAACCAACACTACAAAAATGTATTTTTGGTCATACTAAACGATCTGTGCTTCATGCATAGTGCAATGCTCCAGTGGCTAAATAAAGCCCCCAAAATACTGTGAATTACTTGTATATAATAAAATAATTACAGTCATTGTATGAAAAAAGTGTGTATGTACTTTATTATTGATTGTAAGATCATGGGTTAGGAGTGAGTGTTTTGCCTGGACAATTGTGCTTTATGTTCCAACTTACATACCGCAGTCTTTCTACCTCATTGACACCCATACCCATGTCAATGTCATTAGTGCTGCAAAGATGTAACTATTTTCCCCAATTTCAAGTTTTTCAAATAAACAGGAAAATAATATGGACCAGGCATTACCGTGCGAGCGAGTGCAGCTGAGCAAGTTTATTGGTTTACTATTGATTTGTTTATTGATTTGTGTGAACTTGAGCAGGAATCAAGATGACGCCACAGATGATTCGTTTGACACCACTGATCCAAATGACTGAAAATGATCGGCGTATCATTTAACACCATACTAATTATGGTTTATCGTGAATGAGCTGTTTCGTTATGCATACAGTGCCCATGGACGGGATGTGCATCATTTTTAAATTTTAATCTTCCATACCCTTCTATATATACACATGTTATCTATAGATTTTTCCCTAATATTTACAGTTGTATTAATACAGTTATATCACTACTCGTCTTTAACACATAGTGATACAGTTCATTTGTATTTTCAGCTGAATAAAGTGTTAAGGAATAATATATAAAATACATGTATGTAACAGGCAACATCTGGCGAACGAGCGAGCAAGTGCAGCTGAGCAGATTGATTTACTAAAAATAGAACTGAAATGATTGTAGAATGTCATAGTGTGTGAAATGCAAGACATTGTGTTCATGTGTGAGTTGCCAGGCATGACTCAGATGTCACAGCTGCTCATAATGACTCAAAACAAATATTAAGAATTAACTATTTTCAGTTCGTTGTCTGAAAACAACTACCTTATCATTTCTGAAAATGTTTTAAAGCTGTCACTTTGCATAATTTGACAATAACTATTGGTTGAAAACACATTTGAATAATTTCAATCTGTATTTGGAGTTCTCAACACTCCAAATGATAATTGTATGACCCAAAGTATGTATTTACTGTGCATTTTGAGGTAATGTGTCTGCTTTTTCAATTCACAGTATCTGTGTGGTTAAATCTGTGGTTCTGTGGCATCTGACTTTAAGCTTTTTTTTAATTTTTACACTGACAAGTACCGGTATTAAGTTAATGGGTATCGGTAGTTCCCAAGGGCAGAGTCAACATACAGCATTGCAGAAATTGGACCAGGTGCAGATTCATAAACAAAATACAGATTACAATCTTGTGCCTCAGTAAAAAAGCAGATAATTGATCAATGAAAACACAATATGTAGTAGTACTGAATATGATATACAGCAAATATTACATGTATACTGATATTTGCATAAAAGGGTTTCCCATTTGAAAACTATTGTGGGCTGAAGAAATTTGTAAAGAAAGCGTGAAGGTAAAGAAAAATTTACAAATGACAGAGTGAAGAATAATTGAAGAAAATACAAACATAATTTCTATTTATCCAGGTTATATAATAAATTCTCTTACTAATACTTGATGGGTATTTCTGTGAGTGTACATGTATGGACTAAAATTATATTACACCCATTAATTAATATATTTATCAATTTTCCAGGCATTTACAAGTGGAGTCAAGGAAGAAGTAAAAGAAGTTGCTCCTAGTAGAGCAGAAATGGCGTACACTGCCAAAAAATCAGCCTATGGTATGTATGTTTTGGAGGTTTGAGGTACTACAATAAAATCTCTATTAGAAGCAGCATCCCTAATAGAAGCTGCACCCATTCGTTTTAAACAATTGAGACCCAAAAATTCACCATTTCTCATATGTGTAGATGCTCTAATAGAAGCCGCATTCCCCCTGTTGCATTGTACCATTTTAATAAAAGCTGAGGCTTCTAATACAGATTTTACAGTACTCATTGCTGCAGTTATCAATTATTGTTTTTTTACAGTTTGACAGTAACAATAATTTGGTTGCTTTGCATTCTTGGTTTATATTATGGCAGTAAACTCATATTTTACATGATAGTATATGTACATAGTATATTTACTTGTCAATGGCACACAATTATACAAATATAAACGAGTTGCGTTTCTTTTTCTCTTTATTTATCTTAAAATGATGTGCTATTTTCTGTCACTCAAACACGATAATAAGTCTGTATCCAAAACTGAAGCCATTCTAGTAAATTGTATGTATTTTTTAATATATCTGTGTTTTGTAGCAGGGGTTTTTCCCGCTACCGAATGTCGATGAACTTCAAATCATAAATATATTCTGAGCCGTCCCTTTCCGTGCTGCTGTACAACATGAAATCTTACTCAAATATATTTTCTCCTGGAAACTTAGCAACACCAGCTGACAATGTGTCTGGACACCAAACACTAAAATTACTCTAAAATATTTCAATGGAGATAGATACAATGAACACCGTTGAAACAGCACAGAAACCTTCTGATATGGCATTTCCAGGTCAATCTGCCGTTCCACCATTATAACACTTCTAGACGCGCATCAAGAATACCGTTGAAACAGCACAGAAACCTTCTGATATGGCATTTCCAGGTCAATCTGCCGTTCCACCATTATAACACTTCTAGACGCGCATCAAGAATACCGTTGAAACAGCACAGAAACCTTCTGATATGGCATTTCCAGGTCAATCTGCCGTTCCACCATTATAACACTTCTAGACGCGCATCAAGAACAAAATAAGAAAAACATTCATGGCTTCCCATTAAAATAATGATCTACCCTTTACACATCAAAAGTATTGTCGAGACGTCAACATTTTATACTAATTTTTCTACATTAATAGAATAGATTTTTTTCAACAGAAATAAAGTTTGTGATTTTAGATAGCAACTGATATATAATTTGTTTTTGACAGACACCTGTACAAAATACTTGGACAAAAGCCAGCTAAGATTTTCTGGTATCTTGCATGATTTATGAATCTATTCACGTCTAAATGCAGCTGAGATGAGACATTTGTTTTTATACTAAAATATCTGAATCACTTTGAATAAAGCTGGAAATTATGTCCCCTAAAATAATTAAACAAATTAGGCACCAATGTTTTTGTAAGATATTTACATCTATCAAGGACATTCGGTAGACTGCTTCCCCACTCCTGTTTCAACCCCAAAACTTGTTTGTATTCAAAATTAATTATGACAATGCATATTCATATTGAACAAACTATGATAAAAGGAATAATATTATATAACAAAGGGCAAGGCCACCAGAGTTCAACTATGTTATATATATCAAGTGATATTTTTAGGAGTTCGAAAAAATTATACTTGAATGTTGAGCAACTAAAGACAATTACCTAATTATGCAAATTATGCATACACCACAAATGATGACCACTTGAATTTGATTTGTATACATACAAATTTACAAAGCCAAGCAGCAACTATCTGGTAATGTTTGTGAACAACAACGCAATATAATGTAAGGAATTGCTACCATTGGAAATCTACTACTTGTCACATGACATGTGGAATTTCAGGAAATATACTGCAACGACTTTATCTACAAAATAAAATCATCAAAGAAGGGGGTGCAAAAGTAGTCCTATTTTCTGCATTTGGTTTATAGACTTACCAAAGTTGCTGTTGATGTTTGATTTACCCATAGACCCGGGTCTATGATTTACCTAATGGATATTTAATTCCTTAGCAAGCAACTATTTTTGCAATGCTACTATTATCCATTTTAGTTATGTATATAGACTAGCTACCAATAATCAGCTTCATACAATGCATGCATTCTGATGTCAAATGAAAGACCTAGAGGTGAGTTTGAAAGTTGAGAATTGCTGTAGTATGGTTGACCCTACTGATAGATGTATTCATTGTGCAAGTTAACCTTTGATATTGTATTTTGATATTGTATTTTGATATTGTATTTTGATTTAGTAATTTATAGTTTGAGACATAATCGCCATTGAACCTCTTTCACAGATGCATTATTTAAAAAAGAAGTTGAGGAGTTTGAGAGAGGAAAACGCCATCTTGCAAACATGATGGGAGAGGATCCAGAAAATTTTTCACAGAAAGATATTGATGTGAGTACTTTTAACTGTGTCTGTAAAATAGTGTGCTAATTGATTTTAAGTTTACAGCCTTGCAGTTGTGTCACATCATGTTTGAAATTGGTTCTTTATGAGGTATACAATCTGTGTAATATACAGCTCTTTCAGCAACAGGATCCGCATTGCATCCAAGACAGTTCACAGTTTTATGTAAAATACTTTATTTTAGCTGGAATTAATTTTCGCTGAAACGACTTTTTTGGTGTTGTGTATGGAATTTATTTTCACTGAATCATGCCTTCATTGAAAATAGGTTTCAAGCGAAAATAAAGCATTCTACAGTAGCTAGCCTGACAAGGTCATGCGAGTTGCATCCCTCGCCGTGGTCCATACCCAACACACGCCTGACAGAATGACGCAGTTTTTCACTCTCCCTGACGATTTTTTTTTCTGTACCAATCAAATTGCAAGAACGTCAGATAGTGACAGCCATCAAAGAGTAAAAATTCATGGCAGAGTTTATTTGATGACATATTGTGTGATAAGGTGCTGGTAAATTTCCTTCCAGTGTTTATCATCTTGTTGAAAACAGTCTGTGATTTTTTCAGACAATGCAAACACGGCTTTGTCTCCCTTTTTAAGTGGTATTTACTTATCAAGTACCTTTAATTCCATGATTGACAGTGTTACCATGACCACCAAAATGAATATTCATTGAAACACATTGCAAGAAGGCATGAACACTGCGAATTTGCAGTATTGATCTTGCCGACAAGACATACAGTATTCTGTCAAGCGTTAGTGAGGTCTGATACCGCTCGGTCGCCGAGTTCGTCACTCACACCTACATGATACATGCCAGGCAACTATGTATCTAGCTATGTAGATTGCATCTACAACAAAGGAGGTTTTATCACTGTGGCACTAAGTGAGATTTGTTTTGTTTGAGATAACTGAACTTATTTAAACATACCTATGATAAAAACACACAATGAATCTTTGTAAAAATCATTTATTTAAAAACTTAAGGTAGCGAGAAGGTTTTGTGACGTTTTTAAATAAAACATTCTCTGTCTGTTGTCTCGTTC